GGAAAATTAAGGCAAATAGAATCGGAGTGGGAAGTTGCTAGTTATTCGTATTCGCCCCACGTTCTAACCTAATTACAAGGAGATTGTTCTGGCCCTGGGCAGTCATTTCAGGTTTTGTTTTCCTGCTTGCCTCCTCCACCTCCACCTGTCTTCCTAGAGGCCCCAGTCAAGGTTATTGCAATAGCACCGAACACTGTGTAACACCCGTGCAGGCAAATTAACATCTGGGGACGGGACCGTGCTCACTGTGAAGCCAAGTAAGTTGTGCCTTTAGGGGCAATCAATCAAATCGTTAGTTTGAAAAATACTTTAATCCTTTGCATCTGCTTGGGCTCTTTATGTTCTTTCCCCAGGCCAAAGAGAGTTGGTTTCTTTCTCTGCTTTAAAATGAGATGTGTGTGTGTGTGCACGTGTGCACATAACACACACACTTGCTCTGGCTCATAGTGAGGAGCTTTCAGGAGCATATACAACATTTTCAAATAAACAGAGATATAAACAATAATTGAGCCAGTGACACTGTCAGGAAGAACCTCCACTGGGGACCCAGCACCCCGACCCCTGGTTTGGCTTCCCTGCAGCCTCCCTGGCCACATGGATATGCTTTGGCTCCGTCTGATGGTCTAGGGCAGGAAATTCCTCGGCTTTTCTTTGTAATCAGTTCCAAAATTTAGCAGCCCTTACTGCCAGAAAGTACTTTTGTACATCTAACTTTGACTACCTGCCCCCTGTCACTGTGATTTAAATCTCTGAAAAGAACCACTACAACTTTAGGCATCTAGTTTGCAAATAAAATTTCTGCTGTAAATATGAGACTCAGCACTGAGTAGACTTCTACAGCACCTCTGAGATGCCATGTGTCCCGAAGTGATTACAGATTCGGCACTATAGTGTGAGCTTTGGAGACAGAAAAACCTAAATTCGACTCCTGGCGCCATTACCTTATTAGCTGTGTGACCTTGGACAAATTACTTAACCTCTCTGAGCCTCGGTTTCCCCATCCATAAAATGAGGATAAATATCCCTACCTTGTTGTGTTATTGAAAGGATCAAATAAAATAATAACAGCTAAACTATTTAGCACAGTGCCCAAAACACAGAAAGAGCTCATTAAACCCTAGCTATTAATAATAATGATAAACATCATCTCCAACACACAGTAGAGCTTTCGTTTCGCCCCTCAGGCTCTTCTGTCAAGGCTCTGTCATGCAGCAGGAGAAAAGCTGGCATGGGGGAGGGTGCAGAGTGTCAGCCTGTTCTATGAAATTCTTCACCTGGGATTGGAAAGTGTCTAAGTGGAAATAGAAAGAATCCTGGCTAATTTAAATACAAAATTGTCCAACTGTCAGAGGCAGGGAAGAGGCTTCTGCAGAGAGCTGCATGGCTGGAGCATCTGAGGCTACACAATAATCCCTTAGAGCAGGGATGCAGCTCACAGTATAGTCGGGCAAGGGCTGCGGCAGCAGAAACCTTGCAGCACCCTCTCACCAAGCTGACCCCAGCGTGACTCCCTCCAAAGTGCCCCAAGGCACGGGTTCCCCATGTGGAGGGACAAGGATTGAGAGAGGATGGAAGCTTCACAGGGAAGAGCTTCTTGCCCCAGATCGTGTTTCTGCTCCTCTGGGTAGTGAAGCTCGTGAGCAATATGGCGCCTGAAAAATAGTCCCTAAATGAAACTCTCAGACCTGGGGAGGGAGGATCAGGAGTCTGTAGAGGCAAAACTGGGCCAGTTAATATTGAAGACAAGGGGTTGAGTGTAAGGTGGGAATCAAGTCACATCTCAATCTGGGAGAAGACGCATTAAACAAAAGCTGGAGATGCTGCGTTCTCCAGCCCCACCGGGACTCAGACCACAGACCTCTTGCTGATACTGCAAGAGGAAGGGAGTTAAGGTTAGTGATTAAAACCTCCCTAATAGGGGCTTCCCTGGTGGCGCAGTGGTTGAGAGTCTGCCTGTCGATGCAGGGGACACGGGTTTGTGCCCCGGTCCGGGAAGATCCCACATCCCACATGCCGCAGGGCGGCTGGGCCCGTGAGCCATGGCCGCTGAGCCTGCGCTCCGCAACGGGAGAGGCCATAACAGTGAGAGGCCCGCGTACCGCAAAAAAACAAAAAAACCTTCCTAATAGGTTTGTGAACAGTGTCAGGAGCAGTTGCCAGAGCACTTTCTCTGGAGGGTTCTTAAAAGGAGATAGACACCCTCGTCTCAGGGCTGATTGGAGTGCAGCCCTGCCTGGAGGCAGGAGTAGAAACTAGAGAACCTCTCTAAGCCTCTTCCCAGCCCCTGAGCTGCTCTGTGAAAAAACTCTGGCTCATTAATGAAGAGCTGCATCCTTCGGGACCCCCGGGTTGCTTGTCGTGTCCCAAACTCCCTTTGTTCTCACACTTAACAGGACAAGCAGGCTGATTTTTTTTCATCCTAAAGCTAAAAACACAGGGTCTGGGTCCTGCGCCGTTGATGGTGTTGAGATATGAGGCAGAGTGGGTTCGGGGTGGAGGAGGGAAGCTCTAAGGGGTTTTTGTAGAGCCCAGAGGCTCTGTGGGAATAACTATGCCCAGAGTTTGACCTTCGGTGGGGGAACCAGATTGTCTGTGCTGCCCTGTAAGTACGGAGAGGTGGGAACAGAAACCAGCCGTGCTTGAGGCCTGGGCCCACTGTGACCTTCAAGCCGGGATGGAGAGGACGATAAGGAGTGCGAGGGATGCTTATTCAGGGAGGAAAATCACAGGCCCGCGGGAATAATGCTGGAGGAAGTACATCGGAGCTTTCCCTTCTCGGGAGAGCTTTGTCGGGGGGCGGGGGGTGGCGGTGGGGAAAGCTGAGTTGGCAGGTTTTTGATGCTGAGATAATCACTGTGCGCAAGGACAAGGCTTCTCCCGTGTCCTTGGGAAGGGAACAAGGCTGCTTGTCAAGCCAAGTAAGTGGCATCCAATTTGAATTGTGCACTGAATATGATTATCTCCAAGAGGAAGACCTGCTCTCTTTCCCACGGGGGCCTCCTTGGACCAGAATGCTATTAAAGGGGCTGAGCGGACCAACGCCCAAAGCCTGGTCATCTCCCTTGTCCTTGAAGGAGTTCTGGGAGGTGTGAAAGGGAAGAAAGTCATCAGGACCCCACCGACAACCCAGCCTTGGGTTCCGTCCATTCTCTTTTTTTTTTTTTTTGCGGTACGTGGGCCTCTCACCGCTGTGGCCTCCCCCGTTGCGGAGCACAGGCTCCAGACGCGCAGGCTCAGCGGCCATGGCTCACAGGCCCAGCCGCTCTGCTGCATGTGGGATCTTCCCGGACCGGGGCACGAACCCGTGTCCCCTGCATCAGCAGGCGGACTCTCAACCACTGCGCCACCAGGGAAGCCCCGTCTATTCTCTTGATCTTCCAATAAGTAAAACCATCTGATGGCAAGTCTTCCTCAGAAGGAGATTCCAATAGGGTTATGTCCATTTCATGCACTTAAAAACTGAGGCCTCTCAGAGACCGGCATATTCTAACAGGAACAGAACTCAGGGAGCAAACACTTTTTCAGGTAGACAGTGAATTCAAAGCAGCAGGTTATTTAAATGACAGGGGAGCCGTGGTAACCAGCTGTAACTTGAGTTCCGTGGTGCTGAGGACTGGGTCTGGCAGTAGGTAAACTCCTAGATGGTAGGGTTTTATCACTGCAGAGCCCAGTCTTCCCTAAACCTGGTCTTCGTTAACCCCAGCAGTGCCACTCTCTGGCCCTGCAGCCTAGGAAGTGCAGCTCTTGGCAACATCATCCTTGGTGTCTTGCAATAAGAGAAATTAGAAGAGAAGGGGGGGAGAAAGCTTGTATCTCATATCATGCAGTTCCCTCATTTTGTAGCAAGATTGTTTCCCCGTGAGCCATTTGTCTTCGTTTAGCCGCTGTCTTCTTCTGGGGAAGCCATTTTGTAGAGGAGTTCGTCACAGTGTGACAACTGACGGCTGGGGGAAATTGAATTTTGGAGCAGGGACCCGGGTTGTGGTCGCCCCAGGTAAGCCTGATTCCTTGGAGCCTCACCTGCCCTTAATTCTAACCCACGTGCCAAGTATTTCTAGCTGAGACCATGACATATTTGAAAGGAAGCCATTTCCCTGAACAGCAATACCCAGAGCCAGTAAGCAAAAGTGAGAGATCGGTTTGGTGTTAAACAGGAACATTTTTGGATAAATAGGAATTCTCATTTTTCTCTATCAGTCCCCCGAGTAAGTACCTGATTCCCCTTATAAGGAATAAAGTTACAAGAAGAAGTAGAGCCGTGATTCAGGCTGTGGTGTGGGAGAGAGAGGCTGTGGATTCTGGGGTGGAGGATTAGAAATGTGTTCGGGAAGATTGGATGTGTTTTTGACAGGATATGTAACACTGTGTGAATTATAACCAGGGAGGAAAGCTTATCTTCAGCCAGGGAACCGAGTTATCTGTGAAGCCCAGTAAGTATAAATGTGTAGCCCTGGATTAAGCAATGTCTGGATTAAGGGCTGATTTAGACTCAATTATACACTATATGAAGAATGTTTAGAAAGGGTGAATGAGCATCAGATAGAAGGACAAAACTCCCCCTGGCTAGGATCTGACATCTGTGTGCAAAATGGGCCACGCAGGGGAGTGTCTGGGAATTGCTCCCAGAATATATGTGGTGGGACTATGATGTGTGACTGATTACTTGGGATATTGGCTAGGATCTGTAGCCCTGGACTTGTACGGTAATCAGCGACAAGACTTCTAATTCCTTAACAAGACTCTAAGGTGCTATTCTTTTTTTTTTTTTTTTTTTTTTTTTTTTTTTGGTTGGGTTGGGTTTTCTTTGCTGTGCGCGGGCTTTCTCTAGTTGCAGCGAGCAGGGGCTACTCTTCATTGCGTTGTGCGGGCTTCTCATTGCAGTGGCTTCTCTTGTTGCAGAGCACGGGCTCTAGGCGCGCAGGCTTCAGTAGTTGTGGCGTGCGGGCTTTAGAGCGCAGGCTCAGTAGTTGTGGCACACAGGCTTAGTTGCTCCGCGGCATGTGGGATCTTCCCGGACCACGGATCGAACCCGTGTCCCTTGCACTGGCCGGCGGATTCTCAACCACTGCACCACCAGAGAAGCCAGGTGCTATTCTTTTTGGCTAAGGTTATGTCAACGTATAGAAGGAATCTTGTAAGTAATGATCATTGACCAGAATAAAGGTGTTTAGCCTCTCCCAAGGTCTAAAAATCACTCAAAAAAAAAAAAAAAGTTTATTCGCAAGTACTGTTGGGACACTTTCTGTTTCTGAGAATTTAGGCCAAAAATTTGTACAACATAGCCTCGTGGAGCAGAGAGAAGAACCCTTAAAGTCATCTTTTCTGACTGTCCACTTCTAAGGAAACTGAGGCCCAGGGAAGAGACAGATCATGGTCCCACAGTAAGTCTATGGCTGAGCTCAGACTAGAATTTAAGTCCCTATCATTAATTCTCCTGGCCTGAGGTCTGAGGAATCTGCAAGACTCATCTGACAAATATTTTTCTGTACCTACTCTATGCCAGGCTCAGCGTTTGGACCAGCTGACCCATCAGGGAAGAAACTCAATGTGATATTGCCCTCAGGGAACTTGCATTCTGGAGGTGGACCCCATTGTTCCCTGGGATATGACCATCCGTATCCTGATCCCTCTTGAGCTTTTGTACCATCCTCACTACCTTAGGAAATATTAAAATTGATCTTTGTTGCAGTTTTAAAGTCTTTTAGCAGTGAAATCAACATAGTCATGAGAAAAGAAACGGCCCAAAAGTGAAGGGGAAAACTAGACACTTCCCTGATAATTTGATCATTCTAAAATTATTTTATTGATATCAAACTCGTGGCCAAATTAACTAGATAACTAATGCAGCTCTATACCTCATTTAGATCCTGTACTCGGTCTAAGGAGGATTCAAGGATTCAGTTTCCTGGTGACGTAACCCAGAGATCCCCAGAGCAGCAGAGAAATATTCTCTGTTCTGGGCTTTGTGAGTCTGAAAAGATGTGAACACTGGTTTGACTTCTAAAATCAGGGATCGCTCTATATATGTTAAAGCCTATATTTGACCCCTGGAACTCTGTAGTAGAAAGTGGGAAGCAAGGATTCCCTAAAAGAAGGTGAGCTTATAAAGACAAAGGCGGCTTTATTTACAATTTGTAGATAGGCAATTTGGTCACTCCAGATCAAACCTAGGTTGACAATAATACACACCTAATTCATAAAGTAATTGCCAACTCTTTACTCTGTGCTCTGCCAACCCGGCCTATTGGATCTGGTTTTTGTTGTTGGGCATATCACAGTGTTTCCTCTGGTTCAAGCTGGCAACTGACCTTTGGATCTGGGACCCAACTGACTGTTGTACCTGGTAGGCCATTACAATTAAATACTATTTTCATGGATTTACTAATCTATAAATGTATGCTGTACATTTATGTAACATAATGGGCCGGGGGGGGGTGGAGTAGGGTGGGGGGAGAGATACTAAAAACACATACTTAAAAGGGTAACATACAAAGAGAATTATTTATCAAAGACCAAAGAGAAAGAAAAGCCTTTTTGCTAAGTTTGGAATAGGAGCTGGTGAAAATGAGTAGAAAAGAAGCTATCCTAACCTAGAAGAATAGGAACAGATTCCATAAAGGGAACCTCTCTTTCTCATAATATTTTCACTAGAACCAGGAGAAATGCTACAAGATGGTTTTACCAGGAACTATCTTAAACCAAGTCTAGTTGGCCAGCCATATTTCTAGTCTATCCTGGCTTATTTCTACATAAGTTGCTAAACACAAAAGTGCCTATTTAAGATATTTAAATGAAGCTCTATTTCTATAGCTCTCTGGTGCCCTTCCAGCATACTGTGCCTGTAACACACTGCTTATCATTTCTACAAGTAAGAACAAGTTTGCCCTCCCAAACTGCATAAGTATAATTACTTGCCTTAGACTGAAGTCACCTCTATTTTATTTTTCCTAACTGTGTTCATTTGTTTAAATCCAAACTGTGTGGGTGTCTAACTCTTGGCTCTGAGGTTTCCTTTCTCTTGAGAGCGTCAGCAAAATATTTTGCCCATAAATAATGTTTCATCTAGACTTGCAAATGACAGCCAACTCTGCGGCCTCTTTTTTCTCCCCCCTTGCTAAAGGGAATATGCAGGCAGAGAGCAGGAAAAAAAAAGCGAAAATGTACAGTTTCACTGTGGGGCTGGGCGGGGGCTGTTAAAGTACATTTGGTTATATAATGGAGGTACTTTGAAAGATAAGACGCAGTGATCTTGTTTGATCACACATACATAATACTGCTAGCTTGTTGATGTGGTTCAGGGTGTCCTTAACAAGAAGCTTAGGTCAGGTTGCCAAGCATGACACAGACCTAGGTCCAACTCAAGGAGAGAAGCTTCCAGATAGCCCTGGAACTAAAGGCAGAATCAGGATTCTCCTCACAACCCTGTCCACCACCGGAGGAGACGTTCCATTTATAATTAGGAAAAGAGACAGGTAAAGAGCATTTATTTGCAGTGTACTTGTTTCAAATATTGTGCGTATGAAGCACAGAAGACACAAGAAAGAACCCAAGCAGAAAGCTAAAGAAAAGAAATCGATAAAAGCACTGAAGAAAATCAGATGCCCTTGTCTTGCCTGTCTCTGATAATGAATGGGTCTTCTTGCCTCATTCCTCACTTTGGTTCTTGAATTTTCTAGGAAAGTAGCAAAAAAATAAAAGCTGGTGGGGTTGCATTAGTCTTGGCCTAACTTGGTTAGTCACCTCTGGATAACACACCTCCCTTTTAGGAAGTCCAGGAGACTTTTTGTAATGATAGTAAACATGGTGTACAACTCCAGATTTTTACTTCGGATCTGGGACGAAACTCAGTGTAAAGCCAAGTAAGTGACAGTTGTCTACAGGAAAAAGTCACCAACGTATTATCCTAAATTCCTCTTACCAGTCTGTATTTATTTTGAGTTCTTTTATTTTGTGTTTTGGGTCCTTGTTCATATGTCCCTTAAACATACATAAAATGTAGTAAACAAATCCTATGATTCAGTAAACATTCTGAAACTGCCAACCATACTCTTGGGATGGTATCCTATATATGGAAAATTCCCAAATTTTAACTATTGCTGCATTTATTAGTTGACCTGAAAAAAAGAGCATTTCGATATAACTTAAAGGACCTATGAATGTCCAGGATTTCAGAGAGGAGATATGACAAATTAAAATTTTATTAAATTAAAATTATATATTATAATTATATTGATAATAATCTAACATTTACTGAACACTTGCTATGTGCAAAGTATTGTGTAAATGTCTCTCATACTTTAAGTCATTTAACCTTCCTCACAGTCTCCTGGGATAGATACTATCGTCCCCACTTTCACAGGTGAGGAAACTGTGAAAGTGAAAAACAAAGCAAGAGGTCAAAATAGTTACCAGAGGGCTCCTACACAGAGGGGGCAGCGCTAGACCTCAGGGCAGCCTGCCTGTCGCCCCAGCCTACTCTCTTATCCAGGACGAGGTTTGCGTAGGAAGACGTAGCACTGTGACTCTAATGACTACAAGTTGACGTTTGGAGCAGGAACAACAGTAACTGTAAGAGCAAGTAAGTAAGAAGGAAAAAATGAGAATAATTTTAGAACAAAATGGTGGGCACAATTACAAGCAACTCCACCTGGGAAGCACAATGGTCAGTAACTAAATTCCCAAAAGATTTCCCAGTTTGCACTAAGACCATAACCATTAGGACCATAACCTGACTACCTCACGTGTCCCCCTCTCCTCCTCCTCCACCCCAAAATGCTCTCTGCCTCAGGGATGCCTTCGCAAGGATAAATTTGTTGAGAGCATGGGCTTTACGGTCAGATAAAAACCAAGCTAGCTATCTGAAATTATCTCAGGTCCCCCCCAAAAGTCACTGGGTTGTATTAAGATGAGACATAACTCTTTCCAAATATTTGAAGAACTGCCATTTAGACAAGGAAAGGGGTTAGTACCAGTGGCTGAAAGGATATGTGTCTCAGCCTCCTGTACAATCTTGTTAAACAAGGGGAACCAGTCTGCAGTGGAAAGGCTGCTTTGTGAAGTGCAGGGCTCTTTCTTCTTGGAGATCTGCACGCTGGGTCCTTTAGGCTGACTATCTGATGTTGTAGAAGGGATTTCTATGCTACTTTAGATGTTGGACTGAATCATCTCTGGGCTCCCTTTCAATGCTAAGCGCTAAGATCTCATGACTCCAGCCTAGAGTATGAGAAGGTGAGCTCAGACCTGTTTCTTCTACTTTTATTATTTTGATAGCCAAAGAAATATGTCGTTGAATTATTCATCAGCTAAAGCCTATTTGGGATATTTATACCTAGAAGATGGTGGGGTGTGATCTCCCAGAGCCATAAATGGGAAAATAAAGGGCCATATCAGGAAGAAAAAAAGAAAGAAGAGGAAAAGAGAATGCCTGGAGGGACGACCAGAGGTCGAATGAGGGAAATGGGGTGATTTTGCAGAGGACAGAACTAGTCTATCAAAGTTTTCACAAGTTCAGCTTTGGAAAGGGATCCAAACACAATGACAATCCAAGTAAGTGAGCAGCCTTATTATACTGGGAAATAGGGCCAGGGAAGCAAAGTTCCTTCCAATTTAAACACTCTCAAAAGGCCATGTAATTGCTTTCTGATGGGAGAGGGCCTCTGCCGGTGGAAGACTACTGTTAGCCCAGACCATTTGTCCCCTGAGAGACAGCCTCTGAGATCTGACTGTCCCGCTCAGACTGTCGGCTGCACGAGAAAAAAGACTTAAAGCCACTTAAAGAGGATGAAGGTGAATTTTCAACCCTGTCCCCCAGGGCAGGGGAGAGAGTGATGGGGAACATTAGGACCAAGTTCATGTAAAGGGGCCCAGCACTGTGTCGATAGAGACTCAGGCCTGGGGAGGCTCTACTTTGGAAAAGGAACTCAGCTAACTGTACAGCCTGGTGAGTGGGTTGTTTTCTACTCCAGGGAAACAGTACTGTGAAGAAACTGGAAAGGGAGATGAATGAATATCCTTAGTCTTTAGGGACTAAAGGGAAAGTCTTAGGGAAGACTTAGGGAAATGTCTTAGGGAATATGTATATTGCTGCTACTGGAGGACCCTCCTTCTTAGTTAGACAGGGATGGGGAAGCGGAAGGAAGGTCAAGACCACCTAGCGTCACTTTCAGGAACTTGGGAATCTGAGAGGAGAGTGTATGTGTTCCCACTAAAGGCAAAGGAGAAGGGCAACCCCACTAGAGAGTGTGAGGCATCCCGAAACACCTGCTCTGGTCCACACCCAACGCGTGGGGAAGGATGTGGCCCTCAACCCAGGCTGGGCATGCCAGATTGAGGTACAGAGTTACCAGGGTTATTTTTCTGGAGTCCTGTGATTCTCAGCCATCTCCCTATCAGAGGCTCCATCAACTCCTTTCTTATCAGGAATGACCTCTCCATCATATTCTGTAAGCTTTCCCCAAGAAGCCTCCTCCCAGTTTCCTTAGTACAAGCCTCACCAGTGAATGGGCTCTAGAATAGCTGGAGGGGGTCTGGGTCTGAAACTTGGACCAAGGAAAGTAAAGCTGATCCACAGTGCGCAGCAGCTTGGAGGGCCTGGGTGGACCCAAGACTAAAGTATCCTTCCTCTCTTTGGGCTCTTCCCTGTGCACTAAATTGAATATAGAGATGCTAACGGCGTGCATGCCTGTGTA